AATCGTGTTGGTACTCGTGTGGAGGGGAGACGTGCCGGAGCTTGACAGTTCGTTGCTGTGGTAACCAGAAATCGCGTCATTTCAGAGCTTCCGTCTCACCTTTGTACATGGTAATGATTTAAGTGGTGACTGTACACGGGCAGTGGATTTTATATGGGATTTACTGACCACCTATACACACGACTCGGAAGTACAAGCAGTTACACTGCCGCTAATCTCCCTGTTCAAAAATTACCACAGCACCCGCTAAAACTGTTCGCAGCCTACTGTCTCTTCGTCAGCCGTACCCTAGTAACGGCTTTAACAGTGGAGATCCTTCAGCTGTACTCGCTCAGGTTCTTTCTCCACAGCCTCCTGTGTAGAACTCAACTATCACCTGATAACTGTCAACTAACTGAGTCGCCCCACTTGTCTTCAAGAATAACTCCTTTGCACGGACCGAGCAGAAAACATCGTTTCCAACAGTAACGCTGTTGTTGTGTTGCATAAGACCGTTATTTATTCGTCTGTTGCATAGCAACGGCTGTACACGCTACAGTATATGCACATTCATACCTGTGCCATTAGGGTACGTGTGTTGCAGATTTGTATAACCCGACGAATGTGGACGTTGTTACAAGTGTTCTCTCCGCGGTCCGCAACATGTAGGGAGAAGTCAGTATCAATTAATTTTGCCTAATGTAGCCCTCCGAACGTTGATATCAAGATTATTTCCTGTCATAAATATTGAAGCTCCGTCTGGATATTTTCCTCCGTTCATAACAAAGTCCACATCCTAAAACTTTACCCTTTTCAATTTTCTACCCTTTACCCTCTTTCAGACATACCCTTACCGGAAGGACGAGTATGCGCTGCATGGGAACTTTCCAATAAAATGACGCATTTCTCAGCTTACCCGCCCCCCTCCAATAAAGTACATTTTACTGCTCACACGACTTCCCACTTCCACCGACTCTTCTGCTATACTTTCATACCTCCCTCTCTCCATGACAGAAACAGAACGTATCTGGATGAAATCAGGACCGCCACGCGCAGGCGCTAATGAGCACGCCAACTGTTATAAATTAAACAAGTTCATTAACACGACGCACACGTGACGTCACGCACTGTGGATTGCGATGTTGCTGCAGCCTGAACAAGTTGGGAGATAAAGTTCTGTTGCGTTCGCCCGCTTCCTCTTGGGTTAGAAGTGTATTTCCCATAAACTGTGCTTCATTTGTTTGTTCAGAATGCCCTTGTGTCGGTAAATATGCCCCAGAAACACGTGGAGGTCTTCATGTTAAGTGTCCGGTATTTTTGTCCCATTTCAACGAGAATTTACTTGTTTCGGCAGATTTGAGTGGAATTGCCCAGTGATGTGCCCTCGAGGTGCATGCAGACNCCAGATATCGGTGACCTAGCTTCTCAAAGCGCAACAGTTTCTCGAAATGCTGTACAAGAGTTACAAGAATACATGCGAGTGTATGGCCAGACGAATGTGAGGTACAAGTATAATGCTGTCTTGTGGAAAGTGGTCGCGTATTCTGATAAAGTCCACCGACGTACTGTCTCCTTCTTCAGGGCGAAAGACGGAATCGGCAGGTACCTATCTGCGAAACACCAATGACCCAGTCCACAGCCCCTCCCCTCACCCACGCATCCATGACGACCTATGCAGAAGCGCAAAAGAAGCGCGACCTGAAAATGTGATGGGTGTTCTTGGTGCGTTTTAAGACGCCCGAATTTACGACGCTGTGTTCCCGTCGTCTGCACAAAAATATTCATAAGCAAAGTGTGCGCTCCAGCGTCGTGACCGCCCTGACCTCGCAGCGAAGGGGCCGCGATACGATTTAGTGGGGCAGTCACATTTTGCGCTACAGACTTTCAGATTGAAAATGCTACTTGTGGAAACTGGGGGCATTGCATGGAACTGGGGGCATTACTTGGAAACTGGGAGTATTGCAAGGAAACTGAAGGCATTACACAGGAACTGAGTGGATTACAGAAACAGAACATTGTGGAAACTGAGTGAACTACATAGAAACTGAGGGCGTTGCATAGAAACCGAAGGCATTGCGTAGAAACTAGAAAATCACGTCTTCTCTTCAGTTTTCTTTTGCTTTTCTCTTGTTTTCCTTTTCTTGTTCTTCCCAGGCGCACTAAGCCGAAGCGGTAACGCTTCTGATTTCTATTCGGGAGGATGCAGGTTCGAATCTCTACCTGCTTCCCAGGTCTCTTGACAGGCGTTTCTGTGGATTCCGCAGGCAGATTCGTCCGAGACAGCTTCCTTCCATATTGTTTCCAATTCGTTGCTCACATATGGCCCTATAATTCGGCACTGCACTACGTGAGCTGCCGGCTGCCTCGCGCAGATACTCAAACTAATTCCTGTTTTCCCATCCTTGTCCCTTGCTTTGTTTCTTTCTCCTTCATCTCGTCGTGTTTGTAATTTGTCTTATTATTGTTTCTTTGTGTCCCCTGTATTCTTCTCGATTCCCCCCACTTGTTCCTCCTAGTTGTCACTTTTATCCCACCACTTCACATTATCATCAGACATTATTCTTCTTATTGCTGTTCTTTGTCTTCTGCCTTATCCCTCTTGCTTCTTCCATAATCCTGTCCTCCCAACATCCCCTGCTCTGCATTCTTCGAAGAATGAAACGCGAACTTTCTGAGTTGCTGTTCAGCCTCTTAACCAGACGCTCCGTTTTACTGCTACATACTCCACGAGGGGGTAATTTATTATTAAAATCTGAATATCTCCCCGTCGCAGCGCAGGGTTGATGCTCCTCGGGCATTGTAGACCTGGAAGCAGGAGATAAAGGCGGTGTCAGGCTATCGGGAAGGCTACAGCGGCTTGCTCTTTAACGCCTTGAAGCCTGACATTCATCTGAATAATATATATATAAATCCAGTTCGTACCTCACAGGGAACACACTCCGTCTCCATAACAACGCCCAACCGATTAATGCTGTTAGGGAAATAATCGCTGTTTACTGTGAGAACCATACGGAACACATAAATACACTGTGTGGGCAGAATGCAGAGTTTTAGTATCTTGAAGTCCGTACCTTACAGGGAACACACTTCGTCTCCATAACAACGCCCAACCGGTTAATGCTGTTTAGGGAAATAATCGCTGTTTACTGTGAGGACCGTGCGGAACACGTAAATACACTGTGTGGACAGAATGCAGAGTTTTGGTATCTTGAAGTCCGTACCTCACAGGAAACACACTCCGTCTCCATAACAACGCCCAACCGGTTAATACTGTTTAGGGAAATAATCGCTGCTTACCGTGAGGACCGTGCGGAACACGTAAATACAGTGCGTGTGCGCGCTTTGTGAATGTTAAAGCATTTGGTATATAGTAGTTACCACTGTGTTTAAAGGCTTACTGAATCACATGATAGCACTGCCTCGTGCCTTTACCGAGGGATGAGCCAGCAAGTATCTGTGAACCATCGTGCAGCGGCCGTTAGGAACACCGCGCCGATCTGTGTCAGGGGGAACACTGAAGCCCCCCCCCCCTGCTAGCAGATCATCGCTCTGTTTACAGTCCCATAAATATGACGGCATTATGCGATAAGCAGTCACGTTATCAACGAGATTTATAGATACCATAAATCTGAACCACATTCTTAGACACGGAATATTTCATGCCTTTGTTTTAGTAGCGGATAAACGTCTTTAGAGGCTGACGTCGCATTCCTTGACGCGCTCACAACAAAAATAAAATGCCACTCTCCACTTTGTCATGTCTGTACATCTTCAGCTTTTGTCTGTTATGGAGCCACACTGTTCATTACAGTATTCACAGAAGCCCTAACTTGCGTGTAAAATCCGTTCCACACCATCCCGCTTCCCTTTGCTCACACCGTTCTGTCCGGCGAATATCTCACAACTCAACTCTTCTCAGCCTTCCTTGCAGAACTCAACTCTCAACTAACTGGGTCCCCCCATTTATCTTCCTTATAACCCTTTTGCATGGACAGAGTAGAAAACTCCATTTCCAACAGTAACTCTACATTTCTTGCGTATTCATTGGCGTGGGAACGTGTTTAACGATCCGCTACCTAGCAGCGGGTTGAATGACACCGTTGTTTGTTCGCCTATCTCGCGGTCATTGCATAGCAACGGCTTTACACCCTACAATATGTACCACCTCCTTGAACATACAGAATTCTCTTACATTTTGCCGATGTAGTGTATGTGTTCCCTATGATTCTCACAATAAACAGCGATTATTTTCCTAAACGGCATTAACCGGTTGGGCGATGTTATGGAGACGGAGTGTGTTTCGTGTGAGGTACGGACTTCAGGATACTAAAACTCTGCATTCTGCCCACACAGTGTATTTGTGTGTTCCGTATGGTTCTCACAGTAAATAGCGATTATTTCCCTAAACAGCATTAACCGGTTGGGCGTTGTTATGGAGACGGAGTGTGTTCCCTGTGAGGTACGGACTTCAGGATACTAAAACTCTGCATTCTGCCCGCACAGTGTATTTGTGTGTTCCGTATGGTTCTCACAGTAAACAGCGATTATTTCCCTAAACAGCATTAACCGGTTGGGCGTTGCTATGGAGACGGAGTGTGTTCCCTGTGAGGTACGGACTTCAAGATACTAAAACTCTGCATTCTGCCCACACAGTGTATTTATGTGTTCCGTGTGGTTCTCACAGTAAATAGCGATTATTTTCCTAAACGGCATTAACCGGTTGGGCGATGTTATGGAGACGGAGTGTGTTTCCTGTGAGGTACGGACTGGATTTGTATATATAAACTTCATACTTCAGAGGATTGCATCCGTAGAGAAATCTAATCAGCTTCAAGACTCGTACCAGCGAAATTCCTCGGCACGAACCTCCCGAACAATTTACCTCAACTCTTTTTGTGATCCTCCAATTCTTTCGTCCCCCTGTAGGGTATCACTCCTACGCACTGCGGATACCCCATCCCCACCTTCACCCTTTCCCACCCCTTGTAGAGTCAGTGGCAGGGTTGATTCAGAGCGCATGCTTCGAGTCCCAGTCTGCTTCGACGTTACACTAGCTGTCCGGTAAGCAAGGAAGACAACCGGACGCGTTTGCGAGTGCAAGGATCAGAGAATGGCATCGGTGGGAATCTGTCACCGTGCAGTAGACGCCAGGCGTCACAACGCTTCGTGCGGTGGACGCACGCATCGCTCACGTGTCTAGGGGTGAAAACTCTAATTGAAAATATTGTTAGCATCACTATGGTCAATTTAAAAGTGCAGTACAGCGTATAGTGTTGTGTGGACAGCGAGGAATGGAGTTGTGAATAATTCATAAGAACTTTATATGTAATTGCAAGTTTGAGACGCACGTAACACTTTGGGCAGTTGTGTCGGGTATCCCCCGCAACCATAACCACTACTCACCCTCAACACTCCATTCAGTTTGAGTTAATAAAAACATTTGAAGTTGACATTTAACTTTGCGATCATGCACAGTGATTAGTGTCAAACATGGGCAAGAAAAACTCGAAGTTGAAACAAGAGACTATCGACCGCCTCACCAAGGATACATACTGTGAGTACTTGACCTCTGGTTCATGCCCCGGGCACGTTACACGCTCCATCCTTGCTACTTCATACGATTTGTATGTATCTGACGCCCCTAACTTTAGTTACGGCGGTGAGTATGGTATTCTGGGCCGTGTCTCTCCGTGTAGTCTGGTCCAAACTTTTCGGAGGAACATATTGCCTCGGGGTTCAGGGCAGAAAACTGAGGCAACAGATTTCTAACAACAAATTATTGTTCCTTAATACCAATCTACAGGGCGTCACATATACTAGAACTTTTTAATAATCACTGCCGAGAACAACTCAGACCTCATAAAGTTTTGCATCTTGCAAGCTCATGAACACGGAGATTGCCCCATCTCACGAATGTATATACAAATACGCTATCTGGATATTTTGGTCGATTTTCTTGTTTAGCCCATAAACTATAGTGGATACTATGTATACTACATGCTGTAACATTAAAGAACTCTGCATTCTGCCCACGCAGTGTATTTATGTGTTCTGTATGATTCTCACAGTAAACAGCGATTATTTCCCTAAACAGCATTAACCGGTTGGGCGTTGTTATGGAGACGGAGTGTGTTTCCTGTGAGGTACGGACTTCAGGATACTAAAACTCTGCATTCTGCCCACACAGTGTATTTATGTGTTCCGTATGGTTCTCACAGTAAACAGCATTAACCGGTTGGACGTTGTTATGGAGACGGAGTGTGTGCCCTGTGAGGTACGGACTTCAAGATACTAAATCTCTGCATTCTGCCAACTCAGTGTATTTGTGTGTTCCGTATGGCTCTCACAGTAAACAGCGATTATTTCCCTAAACAGCATTAACCGGTTGGGCGTTGTTATGGAGACGGAGTGTGTTTCCTGTGAGGTACGGACTTCAATATACTAAAACTCTGCATTCTGCCCACTCAGTGTATTTATGTGTTCCATATGGTTCTCAAGCTGAAAAGGCTTAGGTGTCCTCGTGCAGACGGGGTACATCGTTAGAGTTGGTTTGACGCGTTCTCAAGCCTGAGAAAGAGAGAGAATAGTGGAAACGTCAATGAAAGGGGAAAGTCGTGAGAGAAAATTTATTGTCGCTGTAGAAAGAGCAACGTGCTGACCCATTCTGCAAGATATGAGAAATTAGCGTGAATATGCAGGAAGCGCCAGGATGTGCCAGGCTGCACGGCGTCATCGAGCTTACTGGCTTAGAGATGACTCAATTCGTATTTCAGAGGTACTCGCTTCGTGACATCGGCTGTCCTGACAGGTTTATCGTGGTTTTGCTCAGTTCTTCCAGACAAATGTCGGGATAGTTATCCGTTAGACCACTACCGCTCCCTTCCAGATCCTTTCCAATTCATGGTTCATTTATCATCTCACCACTCGATGTTACGTATTATAGCTACTGGCAAAGTCGTGATATAATCCTCCAAATAAAATGACGCGGTGTCAGAACCAAGAAAGCAGGCATATTTTAAGAACGGAAATTCTGGTCTCAGTGCCACCAGCAGAAATATTTTTCCACCCCTTGGCCTATATATTTGACATATTCAAATTTCGGGCGTCTGCAGTCACAGCTGCCTAAGACAGGACAACATCTACCCTGAACCGCAGCTGAACGAGACATATTTACGCTACAGTCAGAGCGTTCCTTGTTGTTCCGATTTACCCTATAGAGCTGTACTCTCCGGGAGATGTTGTGTGGCTAGGGAACTTAAAAGTAAAGATTTGCGCTTGCTTTTCAGCTGGCATGATGTTGCCATGGCAACGAGGAAAATAAATAATATTCTGTAATCAGCGTTAAATTCGGAATTATAACCCAATTAATTGCTCTTTGGCCGGAACTTCCATGTGAATGAACTTCAGGCTTCATCAGTTCGCTTCAGTTGTCAGTGGAGCGCTGTCTCCTGGCCTTTCAGCTGGTGAACAGTGTAAACCGTGTAAACTGTCTTCAGGGTTCCGTCATCACATGGTGACGGATATTGTTACGTCATCATTAGCATATTTCTGGATGCATGATGGGAGCCACATTGCTCTACCGGGCATCTCTTGGAACACAAGGGGAATTTCCTTCCGTAACGTTGCCTACACAATGTATAACGCAACCTCGAAGAAGTTATCAACAAAGTTTAACATTTTAAAGACCAAGAGAGAGTTACTTTACGGCTGGCGGTTACCGCCAATCAGTTCGTCTTGGCGCCAAGCCCCTTAAGTCCCACTACCAGAGTTCCTTTTTCGCAACTGAACCATTGTGGTCATAAGTCTAGGAGGATGTGATGGGTAGGGCATGTAGCACAAATGGGGCGAAAAGGAATGCACATAGGATATTGTGGGAGAGCCAGAAGGAAATAGACCACTAGGAAGACCAAGATACCTGTGGGTGAACAATACTAAATTGGATCTTAGAGAAATAGAATGGGATGGTACATACTGGATTGATCTGACTCAGGATAGGGACCAGTGGAGGGCTCTTGTGATACGGTAATGAACCTGTGATGTTGATGATGATGACGATGACGATGACGACGACCCTTGCGGTCATACTCCCTGTGTTGCACCCTATCTGACGACAGGGTGGATTTGTCTCTTATGATTTGCCTTTTGTCAAGTGCACGTATCGCAGTTATAGCAAGTTATTGAACATTTTTCAAATTTTCTGTCAGTACAGGCTTTGCAAAGCAGATCATGTCAGTATTACGTATCTTATGCTACAACGGCGGGTTAGTAATTTGAACGGTCGTAAGCTTGACCGCCGCCAAATTTAATCCTCTTATAGTTTATAACTCTATGATGTACAGTGGTAAATATTATATACGCCTTCCATCTGCTAAACGTTGGGGAACGGGGTTCATATCTCGTCTGTGAGTGTGTTTGTCAGTGGAATTGCTCTATGCATTCATTGCGCACGTGGCAAGACAGCCATCCGTGTCATGGCCTGTTGCAGTTTCCTGCACTCGGGAGCAGTGCAACTGTTCCAGATGGGCTCCTGCTTTTACGACACAATTTGCAGTTGAATTGGCATCGCTTCATTTCCAGTACACACCGCCAAATATGTCTCTGTAACTGTGTGCCAGTCCGCCTGTTCCAGCCTCCACTTTGCTCCTGTTGCTTTCTTTCCAGTCAGTATCTTCAGAACGTAATGCAGTAGTCACACGATCATATCCCAAACTATGACCGACCCAACAGGGTGTGTCGGAATTCTACATCCCTCTCAAAATCGAAGTCTTATAAAAACATTACATGGTCGACAAGCGAGCTTTGAGACGTCGAGGCTCCAACATTTTCTTGACAATCGGCTCACAGATGGCGGTGAGGTTGTCAGCCCTAAGCACCGGCCGCCATTTCCCCCCAGGAAGATTCCTGGTACTCATTTCTGTTAGAGGCTGAGTCGATCTCGGGGCCACAATGTGGCTGGAAGGATTAGGGCAATTGAAAAAAATTCAGTTACCTCATCGGGAATCGAACCCACGACTACCGGCTTGTTACATACTGCCTCAACCAACTACGCTACCTCGTGCCTCTCCTAAAGGGTACGTCGTGGAAAAAATGTAAAAAGGGAAATGTTCTTCTTGCTGTTATTCGCATGGGTTCGAGTCAGTGCCAGCTTTTTCTCCAATTATTTCTTCCATATTAACAGCATTTGGTCATAATGCGATGGATAACCTAAGTATGATTTATGGTAACCATGGCAACGCGATGTGTTTACGCTAGATTATGGATCGGTGTATTTTCAGTTCTGTTTGCTTTAAAGTAATTTAGTTGTGTGTTCGTGTACTTACAAATAGTGCATTACAGTTGAGGGCATGTGGCTCGTAAAGACAGTTGAGCCCTTATGCAGCCTGCCACACAGGTATTGTGTTCTGCAGGCGGCGTGTGTATGTGGGGGTATGGGGTTCCAAGACAGTAATTAAGTAGCCACCACGAATGGCAAGAATGTTTCCTTAAACTTTAATGCAGAGTTTTCTGCACGGTTGATCGGCTATATTGGTGATGGCCCTCGTCAGTACAGTCATTCTTGGTTTCTGATCCCACGAAATCTATGATCATGTTTTTCCGTCCATGTGCACGGTAATTAATATTTGAAAGCCTCAGTCCGTCTCCATAGCAACGCCCAACCGGTTAATGCTGTTTAGGGAAATAATCGCTGTTTACTGTGAGAGCCATACGGAACACACAAATACACTGTGTGGGCAGAATGAAGAGTTTTAGTATCCTGAAGCCCGTACCTCACAGGGAACACACCCCGTCTCCATAACAACGGCCAGCCGGTTAATGCTGTTTAGGGAAATAAACGCTGTTTACTGTGAGAACCATACGGAACACATAAATACACTGCGTGGGCAGAATGTACAGGTTTTGTATGTTAAAAAAAGTTGATGGTACATATAGTTACCAATGTGCTGCTTAGTGTCAAGACGACAATCTTAGGTATGCGACTCACTAGAATTTGGTAGGTACGCACAGACATCTCGACTGAACCTGCTGTCGGTATCTTCAGTGTTGAAGATGGATGCAGTTCTCAGAAATGTTAGTACCTGCTTACCAAAAGTGACGGCATCACACGCCATAAAATCGCAATCTTAACTGAGTATTCGCTGTGACGGGTGGCCCCTGACCGCCCCTGAAAATCTATTGGGGATAATCGCCATTGCCTCAGTAGCCCTTGGAGGGAGATCGGCCACACGATTGCCAAAATTACCCCCCCTCCAATGGCTGCAACTGAAGTACGCGTTCACTTTATCCCAGTGCCGGCGCGCTACCTAAACAGAGAAATAGGATCCATAGCAGAATGTCCACTGGAATGGGAAACAAAATGAGAGCGGATTGAAACCGAATGGAACGGAACGTTGGGCTCCGTTACTGGCAAGACAGGGAGTTTAAAAATATAGTTCATATCCAGTAACACGCTGCGATGACGTAACTGAGACGCAGGTTCCACAAGTGTGGTCTGTCTTACCGCAACCTGGAAAGTGACCTTTCATTTATTCGCCACATTATCTGAGATGCTGACAG